ATACCTCAGGAAAAATGGATGTGTGTATGTATGTATGGATACATTTTTTGTCCACGTTTTCGTGCTCACGGATCAACCGATTTGAATAATTCAAAAACCATTCGATTCCTATTGATAGGGAGATGTGCTGGTTAGTTTATGTCAAAAGCAGGTCCAGCCGTTACGGAGATACGAAGCAAAGAGTGCAGAAAATACAAATCGAGTTTTTGAGAAAACGGAGTATGCGATTTGAATGATGTAAAAAACATTAAATTTGTAATGAAGTGGTGATTAGTTTTTGGCAAAGGCAGGTCCAGCCATTTTGAAAATGCAGAGCTAAATGCACAAAAAATGGCAGTTTTTGAGAAAATTAAGCAACCGTTTTGAATGATTCCAAAATACTTTCTGCTTGTATTGACAAAACAATTGCTTTTGAGGATAAAAATTTATTACATCTTTTTTTATTCAAAAAATATTTTTGTAATTTTGGATTAAAAATTCAAAAAATGACCCAGGCTAAGCACAGTCTAAGCGCCAAGTTTTCTAATTTTGTGAAAACTATTGAAAATGTGAAAATGCCGCCACGCTAAGTACAGTATAAGTGAAAATGTCGCACAGAATTATTTGCAAATGCGTTCAGACTGTGACTATTTTTAAATTTTGTGCAAATATTAAGCAACTATTTTTTTTTTTGAAATTGAATTCGAAATGAAATGACGATTGTTAATGTTCTGAAGATTGAACTGAATTGATTTATGATTTACATTTGATTTGCTCAGATATAACAAGATGGCAAAAATAATGAAAGTTACAGTATTTGTAATAAAATATTTGAAAACGTTTAAAATTTCCTTAATTTGCCTTAAGGCACAATGCCATACATCACTAGTTCTGGCTAAAGTTCTAAAGCTCACTTATATACTTTAAATAAATAATTTTAACTTTGTAATTCAGTTTATATGATTTTTATAAATAGTAGAAATTGTTACAGTATTTATAATAATCTATTTGAAGACATTTAATAATTCTCGAATATTTCGTTAGGGTACGGGAAGTTTCAGCAATTTGCCTTGAGGCACGATGCCATACACCACTAGTTCCAAATTTGATCTCATTCAAAATTTAGAATTAGCAAATCGATTTTTTTCCCAAAAACAAACTTTCAGCAAGTTAAAAGATGTTATAAATAGATATCTGGTTTTATTGTAATTAATAATACAACAATGACTTTCGACAGAACTTTCGTCAAAAACACTCTGTCCCTTCACAGGATAATCAAATGAAAAAAACAAAATCCATAAAACAATTATCATTTCCCCCAAAATCCCGATTCAATTTCCGAATCCGGAATCGCGAATCTAAAATTCACAAAAATACTTTTGCGGCAAAGTAAAAACTTTTCCTCTTCGCCCTTCGCCGCCCTTCGAGCGCGATAAGGAGAAACATTTATCCCGATTATAAAATTCGCACGAAAGGCCTTTTACAAAGGAAAAGTGATTCGGCATGGAAGTGAAACGTTTATTGTTCTGATTAAGACAAAAAAAAACGAAGAAAAAACTGGCGACATGCCCATTTACGGAGACTCTAACAACGGCCTGGGGGGCGCCGGTATGAATTAAATTAAAATCATTAACGGAGAAAAGAACATTTGCGAAATAGTGATTGTGAGTGAACTTAAAAGAGAAGGTAAAATAGGTGTGAGAAGATTTTGCCTCGAGGCAAAAGTTGCTTGAACTTCCCGATACGTGTAAATAATCAACTTAATCAATAAGAGTTAAGATTCAGATATTAAGGGGGTGATTGACAAAAAAAAACACGAAATATCACGTGGGGAGGGAGGATTATAGTAAGATATCACGTGTATTTATTTTTACCTGTCGCCGTCTAACGGATAAACATTGGTACGGAAGCCGTAGGAATGTAAACAAGATTTATACTTATTATTAAAATGTCTATAAAATATCTGATAATTTGATGTGCATATGCCTAAGGATCATTTTTGACCGCCAAATGGCATTTTTTTTTACTTTTTTCACTAGATCTCCGAAACCGCTAGACCTGCCTAGACGCTCCGTTCTCTTAAAAACTAAGTTACCGTTTTTGGCATTTTTTGCCCCATATCTTCGGAACGGCTGAACCTGCCTTTGCCAAAAACTTATCAGCACGTCTCCTTTTCAATACGAATCAAATGTTTTTTGAATTATTCAAATCGCTTCATCCGTATTCCCGAAATCGTCGACGAAAATTTGTCCGAACACACACACACACGCACACGCACACACACATACATCAATTTTTTCTAAGGTGTGACAAAATATTCAGAAACCTCTGAAACGTAAAGATATATAAAAATTTTCATTTTCGATTTTTTTGCGATTACTATAACTTGCCCTAGGGAAGTTAATAAATATTAAGATTCAACTATTTAAATGTTTATTTCGAGTATGAAATTCTCACTCTTTCAAACATACTTGTAATATCTGTAATTGTATAAATTAAATCAATTTGTTTAAGGGCGTATTCTACTGTAGAAGCATGAATTTTGCCCGGTTTTTGAAGCGCTGTATAAAGGAAACAAATAATATTTTTACTATCGATTTTTTTATCATTTGTTTATTGATATTTTATTATTACACAAAAAAATTATTAAAGAAAAAAAAATAGAATTCACAAAGTTATGAGCAGTCAAAGTGGGGGCTCAAAAAAAAAGAGTCGTGCGTGCATGATTCCAACCCTCCTGGTGATCCGAAACATAAAAAATAGATTTATTCTTAATTATTATAGATGCCGCTATCGTATGAACCTTGGATAAGTTAAAAAAAAATTTTGTTTGAATGGCGGCAGTTTGAAAAAAAAAATTTTCATGTTGTTTTTAACAATTCCGAATTTTTTAAAAATACTAAATGAAAAGTTATAGTTTTGGGAAAGGTCCATGCGATAAAGCGATGTATGGAGAAGATCCTCTCCAAATTTGAAGAACTCGAGATATCCTTACCGCCAGCTCGAAAAAAGTAGTTCCGAGAAAAACGCGTTCAAAGTTTTGAGACTCGGTCGGACTAAACCGAGGCCACGTCACTTAAACGGATATAACTCAGGAAATAATAGTGATTTTGAAAAATCCTTTTAATGACATATTTTTGAATAACTAAACTTCGAAAATATGAAAAAACAAATTTTTCGATTTTTTCAAAATTCTACAGTAGAATACCCCCTTAACACATTTCATTTCATCCAATCGGCATAGATTCTGATTAGAATCGCTCAAACACGCTGCGAAATTCTAAACTTTGACGAATTTTTATAATTTAACCGCGATCGTAGGCCTATAAAATTTTACTATGTTATTTCAGACTACAGAAACGATCGTCAAAAAAATAAACATTTAATTACAAAGAAACGGCCAGGCTACCTTTACCAAAAACTGATCAACGCGAATCACAATAAAAACTCTCAAAAAGTTTTTGAATTTTTAAAATCTATTGAAAATTGTAAGCTAGAATGTGGTCGAAAAATTTGACATTTTTTGCTAATTAAAGAAACGGCTTGGCCGATCGTCGCACAAAGGTGGGAAACGCTAGTCCTTATCGAGTTACATCGAATAGCTTTTAAATTTCTAAACTCGGCCTATTCGTTCTTGAAAAAGTAAAAAAATGGCCCATACACACATACTTTTTCTAAATTTGGTCTCATTCTATTCAAAATGACTTGAAACCTCGAGAAAACACAAAATTCTCCTCTGGGAACTTAAAAACTAAAAAGTTCTATCAAAATCATCAAAAAAGTTTCCACAATTAATTACGAAGAAACGGCCCGGCTTACCAAAACCTAATCAGACGATTCCAAACCAATAATTTGCGAAGAGTTTTTTTTAAGAATTTTTAACCTTGGTGTAAATTTTCCAAAATCAATAAAGCCATGCTAAAAATATGCATTACACAAGATTTTTCCCCCAAGTTGTAATCTCATTCGATTATCACCATCGAAATATTCATCAAGAGGTGACAAAGACGAGTTTTAAGAAAATCCAATTATCAAATATTCTTCAATTTTATGGCAGATAATTTGACATGAATTATCCCGCCGCCGTAACAAGGATTAAAAAGATTTTGACATAAAGTATTTAATATTCGCCAGAGGGAGGGGGGCGCAAGAAACTTTGGGGCGCCGTAAGAGCCCTGCCTTGCGCTGCTCTCAGGCACGTTCATAATGGAATCTAAGGAGAAATGAAATAAAACTTGTCAATTTGGAAAAATCAAACGAAAAGTGACGTTGCCATAAAACGTACATTCTTCGGCACAGATTCTGATTCGAATCTCTCAAGCACGCGGCCAAATTATTTTTTTAATTCAGTTGTTGCATTTTTAAAATTGATTCAAAATTGTATGCTAAAACCGTGGATGAACTAAATTTTAAATAGCAGTAAGTCCTTTTTGCTATATCCTTGCGCCCCCATGAGGTAGCGCCCCAAAGGTTGGAAACCACGTGAACCATGTGTCTGTGTCGTAGAACATAACCAACAAATTCCAATCATCCAACATCAATTTTTGTGAAACTCATATAAAGCATACTTATGTGCTTTCAATATGTTCATACATCGACCTTAATGAACCTTAATATATTTCAATAAATACATCAAACTTTTAGGAAATAGAAGTAAAAATCAAAATCACTTACTACTTCGCCGGCGACTGGATTACCACATACAAAAACATTTGCTAGATAACATGGCAATAATTCACACACGTGGGATAAAATTTAGGATACAAATAGATACAATAACCACATAATTATATTCAAATAATCTGTTATAACTTTAATTTAAACTACAATGACAATTCAACGACGCCATTATGAATTTGTGTTCGCCAAACTGCACAAGGCACAAGTGCATCCGACGAGCCGAAGGCAGCCGATTGCGCTAACTTCGGCTCGGTACGCATTTTGGCGCAAATTTTAAAATTCACATTCGAAAGGATAATAAATTACAGATAAAATAAATATATAGATTTACTAATATTTACCTCGCATCATAGGATGGCTTTTACAAATCGACAACGGCAAGATCAGTATAATCCATTTGCAGACAAAATTCGAGACCATATTTTCTGGAACAATTTTTAAGACATTCATAAAAAGCACTTTAAATAATAAAGTATATGATTCAGAAGTTATCACTGGAAATAAACCAAAAATATTGAAACTTATTGAAAGTTTTAGCTGAATTAAAAGATTTATTTGGTGTAATTGAAACCTAATTGAAATAAAATAAGTACTATAATGTAAACATTGCTAGAATATGTTGAGAAAGAAGTTTTAATGTTTTTGATGTACTATGTATCAAATTAAATGTTTAAGAACATTTTATTCTAAACTTATTGCTGAAATTGATAACGATAATTTGAAATATCATCAACTTGAAATGGAAAATTTATTAGACAAATTTATATTGTGATCTGTAAGTCAAATCTAATTGTGCTAATATTCATATAGAACAACAGTATTTGTAATTGGAATAATAAAAATTATTATGTAGAAATATCTTTAAGGGTTTGAGGATAATATTAGAATGCTCGAATATAAATTTTCACTTTAAATTTCAAATTTGGCGCGTGTCAAATCCAAATCAAAAAAATTTACTTTGACAATCGTTGAAGATACTTCATTTTGTAACAAAATCTAGCTAGATTATTATTATTTTAATAGATTATTTTGTGTTACAAGGTATAACTCAATAGAAAAGATTTTGAAATATTTTGGAGTTCAATCAGATCAAAAATGGAATTTAAACATTGCCATATATTTCATTCAAGTATCCATGGGAAACCGACAAATAAACTATATGTACATGTAAATATGTATATCACAATTGACAATAAACTTCTAGAATAAAATAGTTTCCAAATAGAATTATTAAACAAATAAATTCAATTCAAGGAGTATTCAATTGCAAATCACGCGTGAAAATTAACATAAATCAAATCGGCAATCGTACAAAAATCTTACACCAAATGGCAAAACGTACAAACTTCTTTTTAAATAAAATAAAAACTTTACAGCACAAGTATTTAATATATTAGTACGTACATAAATTTGAATGTTTACGCCCGATGTTTTATCAAAATATTGACACACGCGTTTTTTCCGAGACGCCAAATCGTTGCGCGCACTTGGGCTCGGAAGGACCGACACAGACTGAATTGCAAGAGGCGAAAAGCTCGCGTCTCGCAAGGATTTCCGAACTATTTGCGGACGTACGTTCGTAAAAGACCGAAAACAGGGTGGCCAAGGAAAAAACAAAAAAAGAAAAATTACTTTGTAAAATTAATTTTCTTTTGTTTATAATATTTGGAACGTATTTTGTAAAAATATCTAATGCCGGCAACAGACCTTACGACCTTACCGTATAATTTCGCAATCTGTGACTTGCACAAGTATTCCGAGCGTGTACGGAATGTACAGGCGTATAGACATGAGCAATTTTCAGTACGATTTTTTCAATGGGCAAATTTTCTATTTATTTATCAAAGTAATTCTTTTATCACGTGCTATTAGCCGGCTTTTTGCCACAGAACAAATTGTTGCGGCTGTTCGTGTCCTGCAACGATCGATTATCCGCTTCGATAAGCGAACTACGTCCCAAGTGCCGGGAGCAAGGCGCATGCTCCGACATGTTTTCATTGAAGGCAAAAGTGCCCCGAAATGGGGAAGAAATTTATTTTCCTAGGAAAGACAAAGTAAAGCCTAATAAAGAATTTCTACAAATAATCGGAACGTGTGTAAGATCACGATGAAAGACTGATTATCTGTTACTGTCTTTTGCAAGCACATCCAAGTTTTCATCACAAAACTGAAAATTAAATATTTATATAAACAAAGTTAATATCTTTCGGGGCCGTCTATTATAATTACGTGAGGCATAATAGAGGCGTAACAAAAAATTAATCAATTTATTTTAAAAAAAATTACCATTTTTTCTAGACTCTTGGGGTAATTTTAAATATCACCAAGGTAAAGGAAGGACAAACATTAATAAAAATCGATCACGTGGTTAATGAACGGCCCCTTACAAATTTCATACAATATATTATTTTAAATCGTGTATTTCTCATATTTTACATCTTAATTCTTTAAAATGTACAGTATTTCATTGTATATAAAGTAAGAATAATACAATTTGAATAATAAAAACAAACTGTTAATACGCTTATGTAATTACATAAAGTAAAATTAAGTCTTACGTATTGCATATTATATATGCTTCTGCTATTTAAGTTAAAAATTGTAACAATTTAAACTCAAATACATCCATAGTCCCAAAATATAGATGATAACTCTATCATCAAATAAAATAAAATAAAAAAGGAATCCAACAGAACAGAAGAATAATTAATTTGGTTCTTAGTGCATTTTTCATTCATCCTATTAATTCATCAAACTAGAAACCACATACCTCAATAAACGTTTCCAACTGCTCCATCCGTCAACACACACAACAACATTTATAAACAAATCAAGCAAAAAATTTCATTATTCAATGCACAACAATCTTTTTATCAATAACAATTGTTTTAACCTTGTTTCTCATTTATGTTTGGACTTTTTCTTTTTCTTCAACTGCTTGTTTCGCTTATGCTTCCGCTTTTTGGATTTGCCATCATTATCAGCTTCCTCATCGTCTTCATCAGAAGAACTCTTGCGTTTAGAAGCCTTCCTCTTTTTCTTCTTTCGTTTTTTATTTTTCTTCTTGGACTTGCTGTCACTATCAGAACCACTGCTCGATGAGCTATCAGAACTGGATTCATTATCATTGTCGCTGTCACTACTTGATGAACTATCGGTTCCAGCATGGGCCCTTTTCAGTTTATTTTTGATTTGATTGGCAAGATTGTCCTTTTGTTTGGTTTTCTGTTTATGATCGTTCTCTAAGTTTGGTTCTAAATGCTCATCGTAATCAGGCTCAAAATTAGATTCATCCACAAGAGCTGATCTCCTGGGTGCACTTGGCACGGCAGCTGGAACTTCTCTATGTGATTGAGTATTGCTCTCTTGATCAGATGTGTTTCTTCTTGAGAATTTCTCATCATTTGAAGATGAAGTTTTATGCTGTGGATTTTCAGGATTTCTTGAAGATGACATGTCTGAAGACTTCTTAGATGAGAAAGATCGAGTGTTATCTTCGTGTCTTTTGTACCCTGTAAAAATGACTAAATTTTAATAAAATAATAAAGAACTAATCAACGTGGTAAGATAATAATATATTTCGAACAGTTTTTGAATTTTCAAAATCGATTGAGAATTGGTGGCTAAAACGTGGACGAAATTTTTTTCACTTTTCTGCGATTTACAAAGAAACGGCATGGCTGATCGTCGCGCAAATTTGATAAACTCTAGTCCTCATCGAGATACATCGAATGGCTTTTAAATTTTTGAAATCGGTCAAGCCGTTTTTGAGAAAACGTCGATACACGGCAAAAAATCTGTTCATACACACACACCCACACACACATACTTTTCCCAAATTTGGTCTCATTTGATTCAGAATGGCTTGAAACGTCGAGAAAACATTAAAATTGGCGAATCGGATTTTTTTATGAAAAAATAAACTTCTTCGGGAAGTTAATTTAAAAATATATCTAACCTTTATCCTTATCACTTCTATCAGCTCGGTGAGCCCCAGATTTCGATCTGGATCTCGATCTGGACCTCCTGCGTTGTTGTGAAGCAGCATTTCGTTTACTATTACCATCCGTCCGGTATTCTGCTCTGTCTCTAGATCTGTCACTAGATCCTTCACGACCACCAGATCTGGAGGAGACATTCCTTGACTGGTGATCATAGGACGATCTCGACGGCCGCGCATTATTTCTGTCTCTGCTGGAATTATTAAAATGAGCCGAATTTGAAGATCGATGCTGAGACTGACTGCTGGAAGAGCCTCTGTCTGGACGACTGACCTGGAAAAACAAAGCATTTAATTAAAAACCAAATTACAAAACTAGTGGTATATGGCATCGTGCCCTAAGGCAAATTGCTGCAACTTCCCGTACCGTAACAAAATATTCGAGAAATATTAAATGTTTTCAAATATATGCAAATACTGCACAACTTTAATTATTTTTGCTATCTTGTTATATCGGAGCAAATCAAATGTAAATCATAAATCATAAATCAATTTGTCTCCAGGACATTAACAATCGTCATTTCATTTCGAATTCAATTTCAAGAAAACAAATAGTTGCCTAATTTACACAAAATTGAAACAGTGCTCCCGCATAGTCACATTCTAAACGCAATTGCAAACTAGTTGGTTTGGTATTTAGCCTTGAGGCAAGTTACATGAACTTCCCGATATGTGCAATTAATCGACTTAATCAATAAAAAATAAATTAATTTATGAGTCATTAAAAGTATTCCGAGTGGAATAATTACACACATTTGAAAACGAACGATCACGTTAACTCGGAGTATTTTCTAAAAACAAATGTTCAAAAATCAATAATTTTTAAAATCCATAGGACTTTAATGGTTTAGTATGCTCATTAAGACCGAGTACTCTATCGTTATACCAAGTAAATTGTCTAATTTTAATTTTAACAAACATCAAAAAAACTAATCATTTTCTCAAACTTTGATGAATTTTTAAAATTAAACTACTGGTCGTAAGGCCGCAATATTTCAGTAAGTTCTATAAGACCATGATATATATCGCCAAAAAAAGTTTCATAAAAATCGGCTTCAATTTTTTTTTCAACAGCTAATTACAAGAAAACGGCTCGGTAGATTTTCACCTAAAACTAATCAGTATCATTCCCAACTAATATCTTTCGAACAGTTTTTGATTTTTTAAAATCGGTTCGGTAGGATGAGCTTAAATGTGGACGAAAAGTTTAACACTTTTTTTCAACAGCTAATTACAAGAAAACGGCTCGGTAGATTTTCACCTAAAACTAATCAGTATCATTCCCAACTAATATCTTTCGAACAGTTTTTGATTTTTTAAAATCGGTTCGGTAGGATGAGCTTAAATGTGGACGAAAAGTTTAACACTTTTTTTCAAATTACAAAGAAACGGCTTGGCAGATCGTTGCACAAAACTGACAAACGATAGTCCTCACCGAAATACATCAAATGGCTTTTAAATTTCTAAAATCGGTTCAGGCGTTTTTGAGAAAACGTCGATCAAAAGTCTAATTTTGACAAATGCCAAAAAGACCATACTGATTTTTGCAAACTTTGACGAATTTTTAAAGCTGAACCAGTTGTCGTAGGGCCGTCATATTTTAGTATGACCTAGAAAACTATGGTATCTATCGTCAAAAAAATAATCATAAAAATCGTCGAAATTTTTTTTTTAAAAACTTCATTACAAGAAAACGGCCCGGCCGATCTTTATCAAAAACTAATCAGCATGATTCGCAACCAATATCTATCGAACGGTTTTTGAATTTTCAGAATCGATTCAGAATTGCGGGCTAAAACGTGGACGAAAAATTTTTCACTTTTCTGCAATTTATAAAGAAACGGCCCGGCCGATCGCCGCACAAAACTCAGAGACGATAGTCCTCATCGAGATACATCAAATGGTTTTTAAATTTTTTAAATCGGTCCAGCCGTTTTGGAGAAAACGTCGATTTACGGCAAAAAATCTGTTCACACACACACACACACACACACACACACACACATACTTTTTCCAAATTTGGTCTCATTCGATTCAGAATGGCTTGAAACGTCGAGAAAACATAAAATTAGCGATTCGGATTTTTTGATGAAAACATAAACTTCTCCTTCGGGAAGTTAATAATTCTGTGCGACATTTTTACTTATACTGTGCTTAGCCTGGGTCATTTTTTGAACTTTTAATTCAAAATTACAAAAATATTTTATGAAAAATAAAAAAAGATGTAATATTTTTTTATCCACAAAAGCAATTGTTTTGTCAATACAAGCAGAAAGTTTGTCAGACCATTCCATTTTTCGCACATTTAGCTCTGTATCTTCGAAATGGCGGGACCTGTCTTTGTCAAAAACTAATCACCTCTTCTCCCAATCATTACAAATTGAATGTTTTTAGATCATTCAAATCCGATACTCCGTTATCTCAAAAACTCAATTTGTATTTTCTGCACTCTTTGGTCCGTATCTCCATAACGGCTGGACCTGCCTTTGCCCAAAACTAATCAGCACATCTCCCTATCAATAGAAATCGAATGTTTTTTGAAACATTCAAATCGGTTGATCCGTGCGCCCGAAAACGAGGACGAAAAATTGTATTCATACATATACACGCACACACACACACATCCATTTTTTCTGAGGTATGCCAAAATGTTCAGAAACCTTCAAAACGTCGAGAAATGCAAAAATTTTCAATTTCGATTTACGGCCCATTGCCATAACTATCCTACGAGAAGTTAATTACAAAACTAGTGGTGTATGGCATCGTGCCCTAAGGCAAATTTCTGGAACTTCCCGTACCGTAACAAAATATTCGAGAAATATTAAATGTTTTCATATAGATTATTATAAATATTGTAACATTGTCTAAAGTTTATAAGAACTATATGAACTGAATTACAAAGTTAAAATTATTTATTTAAAGTATATAAGTGAGCTTTAGAACTTTAACCAGAGTCGAAATTAAAATCTCAATTATTTAATGAATTTCGATTTTTGGACAATTAAAAAAGAGATAATTATTTACTTACTTTGCTATCTAATCTCCGATCGCTGACCCCAACGTGCCTGCTATCTCTGGTCCTTTCTCTGTCTCTTGTCTCCTTGTCCCTATCTCTTCCAGCCCTTTTTGCCTCCGGCAGCAGCTGCCTCGGTGGCGTCCTGGTGCGAGATCTTTTCGTTGTTGCTCCTGATGTGATCACAGTTCCCGTATTCTCGTCAACTTTTCCGCCCAATCGTTCTCGTACACTGACTCTGCTCGGGGGCGAAGAGCCAGGACCCGTGATTTTGGTTTTGGCCGGCTTGCTACTCTCTGTCGTCTTTTTAGCATCGTTCGTATGATCCGTAGTTGTAATTAATATTTGTTGGTTCGATGAAGTTATTTTTCTTTCAGGAGTCTTTTCGCGTTCATCTTTTGTCGTGATAGCTTCTCCAGAATATAACTTTATGCGATCCGAACTGATCTTTTTGATTTCGATAGGCCGTATTGCGTTTATAGCTTTGGCAAAAATGGCATTCTCGGCCCTCTTCAACACTTCATTGGTAACTACTTTGTTGCTGGCAATGTTTCCAGGAGGAGTGACTGCACGAGGGCTTTCCGCTTGGGAGGTCTTTATGCTTTTCGGTGTCGTGCCAACACCATCTGTTTCATCCAATTCCCATCTCGAAGGCTCTGGTAAAGTTGCCAAAACTGCAGAAGATTTCTTTGGAGAAATATCGATATTCAGGAGATCAGATTCATTAGCTTGTATCTCCAGACCATCAAAGGAACCATCCCGTTCCAAGAGATTTTCTTTTGATGCAGACTTTGTTATTTCTTCAGTTGATTGTAATATTTTACCATAATTCTCTATGACTTTAGAGTCTATGCCTTCAGTTAAAATGTCTCCATACAAGTCTGTTGCCTTAGATTTGGAGGCTTCTGTTTCTGTCGGGTTACTGGAAGGTACATCATCACTCTTTGTGGATTCCATGGACACATCAGCAGCTTCTGTTTTGTCTTTTTCTGATACAGAACTCTGATCTTGCGATGTCTCCTCTATTTTGCCGGCAGCAGGTTTTTCAGTTTTTTTCACTTTTGACTTTTCTTCTTTTTCTCGTTTCTTTTCTTCCTTGCGTTTCTTCTTTTCGGCTTCTTTCTTTTTTCGTTTTTTCTCCCGCTTTTCTTCTTTGGCTTTACGCTCTTTCAATTTCTCTTCTTCGGCTAGTTTTTCTTTGGATCTGCTATCACCTTCCTTTCGCTCTGAACCTTTGTGTTCTCTTTCTCTCTTAGGATGAGCACTCGAAGAAGAAGATTTTTCCCCATCTTTACTTGGCCTTGGCTTCCTAGAGTACCTTCATAAAAAATAAACATTATCATATCATTTGTAATAAAACATATGATGAATATATCTTCGACATACCTATCAGCCGATGAATTTCTCTCCCTAGGTTTGTTGACCTCAGGCGAAGGTGTCAACCTATGTCTGCTCCTACTGTGAGCTCGTTCCCTACTCCTGCCTTCATATTTATCTTTGACTGGCTCCTCCTTGCGCGGTCTTTGAGGCGGGTTCTCTTGGAAGTCGCGACGATCCCGCGAATCTTCGGGAGGCATTCGGTAATCTTCTGGCTGATAACCGCCAGTAGTTTCGAACCGATCCGTCGGAGGCTCGTCACGGTAACGAGTTGGAGGCGTCGGTTCGAATCCTGGCGGAGGCGGCTGGTCCAATCCGGGGGGAGGCAGATCCGGTTCTAAAAAAATAAAGTAATCATTCTTAGTATTATATCAAACTACATAATAAAATCTTATTAGTATTAATGCAATTATTTATTACCATATCTCGTCAGAGGTCTCAGCCCGTATTGCTGTGCCGGCGGCTGGTGCCCTATGGGGGCCACGTCGTGCTCGTACCTCTGTTCCTGGTGATATGGCTGGACGGGCATCACCCCCGGTGACTTCAGGCTCATCAGAGGCGGCGGATAATGGGCACCACGAGGCGGCGGAGAACCACGTTTGTCTCTGCCGCTGTATCTGAAAAAAATAATATCATAAATGAGATCGTGCGGACTTTAAAGAATAAAAATTATTCTAGAAAACTAGATAAAGTAAAAGCATTTATGTGAATTTTATTTATTTCAGCTGAAAAAGCTAGTGGGAAATGCCCCCAGGTCAATATTGTTTCATAAGCAACAACACGCTGAAATTGATCAATGCTGAATTAGTCATCTTTAAAATCTATCTGATGAAAAATCTGATTTTTTCAATTCAACAAAAAATCCTCATTCTTTTTTAATAAATGTATTTTCACCTGGAAAGCTTCTGGCAGGAGAACTCTTATAATCGAATGATTTCTTAATTTACCTTCATCATTAAATAATGCGTAAAGCTCCCCTTTTTTCACAGAATGCAGAACAGTATTTTCCAGCTTTTCCAGCAATACACTTACCCACCTCGAATCAATCTTCATACTTCAACACCAACGCCAAATCTTGATCAAAAACGAATCAGGATTGTTCTTGCTAACAATTTATCTTTGTTAATAATTACAATAAATGATTTATACGAGATAATATATCATTGGTTTCCATTATAAACAAACACCATGTGTATGCTGAAATTGAATTTTTTAGTCTAAAACAATGTTTCTCAACAAGTTCGTCCTGAAACTTCTCTGGATGCTATATAAAATTATCAGAACTTTACAGAATTTACATAATTACACAACACTTTACTACAATACTCAGAATCTTGAGAAACACTGGTTTAGATGAAATTAATGATAAATTAAATTTTTCTCGTTCTTTACAAAAACTGAAATATTTTTAAAGGCAATAGTATAATACTATTTTTTACATTTGAGAAATATAAAAAAAAACATTTACATTTCAGAATTAGCAATAAAGCTTTGATAAACATATTAAGATTTTAAGTAAAACTAGTTTTAAAAAAAATGGTTGCAAATACAAAAATACAATAAGTGTAATAAATTTAAAAAAAATGTATTAACGACAAATATGGCAACTAATTTTACATTAACGCAAAAATATAAAATGTATCTAAGTATATAATTCAAATCATCCGATAAACTTTATGTACAACAGCCATAAATATAAAAGGTCTCACAGCCAGATTTCAAACTTATATAAATATCACTTATTGAAACTAATTATTCAATTAGTTTTAAATAATAATAACATTTGTACTACATTATACAATCTTTGGAATTAGGCAGCTAATTCAGTATAAACAAATTTCCAGATTTAATAGCAAATATGCACAATATCATCATTATTTGTAAGGAAATAAAATCGCAACAAGTATTTATACTGTTGAAATAAATGCCTTATCCAAAAGTTGTTCACATACCAAAAAATACTTTAGTATACATCAGGAAGACAAAATTTTGATGCGATATTAAAAATATTGATTATACTCCAAATTAGAGCTAAGGAAATAAATTACATAACAAGGAGTTCTTAAAAACAATAGATTTATAGATCAATTACACCATGAATGAAATATTGATCAGAAAATATTTTTTTATCTAATATAATGTTCATTAGTACAACTAATGCAATAAACAGAAAAGAGCCAACAAGGTACACTGAAAAATCACGACTATTTTTAAGTACAACAAATCGTAATAAGTATACAAAACTGTGTAATAACCACACCTAGTTATTACAGTAACTTAACGTATAGAATTAAATACACTGATTTTACACCACGAGAAGTCGATCAATTAAAATTTAGAAACTAAATGTAATTTTTAGTTAATGAAAGTGTAGTAGACAAAATTTTCTGACCATTGTCAGAGAACAATGTAAATTTAGCATTAAATATTAAGCCATAACAAAAATCAGTGTATTCTTTACAATAAAAAATAGACTTGGTGTAAAATACATGACTACAATCTTTACAGCTTAAAATAAATATTTAAAAATACATTAATATCACAGGTTTTATACAAATTAACAACTATCCGAGATATAAATATATAAGCATATAAATCTTTACATTATTTAATAAGCTTGTTTTGAGCATAGTATAATATAATATTACATATTTGTTTATAAGTTTAGAATTTGTAAAGAATCTTATTTCAACAAATGTGTAATAAATAAATGAATAATAGAATACTATGCCTGAACAAAATTTCTTTTATTACTATTTTAAATCTGTATATTACATATGTTCTATGTAGGCTCACAATATAATTCAATATACATATATTTATATTTAATTTCGCATAAAAATAAATAAATAGTTATTAATATTCGTTTAACGCTATTCACACCGGGATCAGTTAAATAAATATTTTCAAATTTTACTTTAGAATTTCCTACAAATCGCCAGTAAACTTTACAACTTCTCCTCATATATTATATAATTTTAACTTCACGAAGAAGTTTGTTTTTAAAAAATACGATTAGCTGATTTTATCTTTTCTGGATACTTCATTTCATTCTGAATAAGACCAAATTTGGAAGAAAGTGTATATATAGGTATGTGAGCCGATTTTTGATCTTGCATTGACGTTTAATTTTTTTTACAAAATTTAATAATTTGCAATAGTTGGTAAGCATTATAATGCTCTTCACCAACTTTTATAAATCACTTATAATTTTGGGAAGTTCATGCAACTTGCCACAAGGCAAAATACTACAACTTCATAGTTTAATTTAAACTTTTATCGAATATTTTCTGAGAAAATTTTGAAGTCTGAAGTAATTAAAAGAAGTTTTTGATTGAAATTATTTACTATTCAATTTTGAATAGTAAAACTTGTTCCAATGCAATTAGAACTAGTTGAAAATGGCATTTAGCCTTAAGGCAAGTTGCATGAACTTCCCGAAATGTGTAAGAATCATCTTAGATAAAAATTTTAACTGTTTATTTCAAAAATAAAGTTTTTGTTTTCAATTAAATCTAAAAACTACGATTTAGAATAGAATTTTCTCAAACTTATTTAAATTAACTGTAATTATATTGATTATATTGCACTAAAACTCATCAGCACGATTCCCAACCAATATATTTTGAACAGTTTTTGAATTCTCAAAATCGATTCAGAACTGCGGGCTAAAACATGGACGAAAATTTTTTCACTTTTCTGTTATTTACAAAGAAACAACTTGGCTGATCGTCGCGCAAAATTGATAAACGCTAGTCGTCATCGAGATATATCGAATGGCTTTTAAATTTTTGAAATCGGCCCAGCCGTTTTAGAGAAAACGTCGATTTACGGCAAAAAATCTCTTCACATACATTCTTTTACCTTAAATTTGGTCTCATTCGATTCAGAATGGCTTGAAACGTCGAGAAAACATAAAATTAGCGAACCGAATTTTTTTATGAAAACAAACTTATTCTTCGGCTTTTAAACTGGGTTTCTAGTAAAATTATTACTAATAATTCACTTTTCTAAATTAGAGTTTTTTTACATATATCCTAGTTGCACATTAAACGCCGATAGGAATAGTGTTTAATAAAACAATAATAATAACATTAATAACTTATTTTCACATGAATTATTTAGCACGCTGGCATGAGGAAATAAACAATATACAGAACTCGATATTTGGTTAAATACAATAAATACTGTGCAAGTAAAAATAAGTTTGAATAGACAAGAATGTCTTTTTCATAACCATAATATATATAATTTAATTAAGTGGGTATTCTAGTGTGGAAATTCAAAAAATCGTTTTTTTTTTATTTCGTATTTTCAAAGTTAACTATTAAAAACATGGGTACGAGAAGGTTTTTGAAAATTTGAATTATTTTCTAAGATATAGACATTTTAATGACTCGGTCTCCATACTGGTTTGGCTTCACGCAAAACTTTAAATGCGTTTTTCTCAGTACAGACTTTTTCAGTACTGTTGACACGATTTCTCGAGTTTTAATGAACCGATTCACTTGAAATGTTCAGAAAGTCTTGTTTATAGACCTATCTATAGCCCGACTAGAATTATCCCCAAATTCCAATTTTTACTATTTTTAAAAAAATCGAGAAACTCAAAAAAAAAAACAGTAAAAAAAATACTTTTTATTTCAAACAGTCGTCAATTTGTAAAAAAAAATTTTTTTTACTCGTCACTAGTTCGGGCGATTGCGACATCATTGTAGATTAATAATCATTTTATTTTTTGCATTTCCCACGGCTAGGAGGGCTGAAATCATGTTAAGACTGAGGTGCCAATTTTTTGAGACCACCCACTTCATCAGCTGCCAGTTTCTTCAATTTTGAACTTTTTTTAATTTTTGTATTGTATTTTAATAATATTGGTAAACAAGTGGTAAAAAAATGGATAGTAAAAACATTCATTGCTTTCTTTTAAAAATGACCTAAAATTCATCGCTCTACACTAGAATACCCCCTTAACTATAATATCACAATTCTTAGAAAATAAATAGCAAATATATTGGAAATGTCTAATTACTTCGTATCTAGGACATAATAACTAATAATACAGTTATAATATGCCAGTTAGAATAAATTTTCCTAATACACCTGCATTTTTATCGCAACATTTGTTTCGCGAACAAATAACTTTTCGAGAAAAAGATACAACCTTTGATAAATAATTTATTAATGTGCATAAATACCTTCCATATCCAGTATCGTTAGCCATTCCTCCGTAATAATCTCCTCCTCCACCTCTGTGACCATGATGATGATAGGATCCACCGCCTCGGCCCCCCCGGCCTCTCGGCCCCCTGTGGTAAGGGGGCGGACCTTGCGACTGATGCTCTGAACCGATTTGTGAATAGTGGTCGCCGGAGCCGCCGTGGTGCCCTCCGTAATAATCGTTACGTGGGGGCGGCGACTGGCGGCCACCGTAATGGTGCTCGCCGGATCCGTAATCGCGGCGGCCACGATAATTGCCACCTCCCTCCTTATGCAAATATCTAGAAGAAACAAATAATTAAAAATCACAATTTAGTCCATTTATTTATAAATTGAGATTCATGAATTTTGTTTTGAAGAACTCACCGTGGTGGAGTCCTTAACAAAGGTGATCTGTATCTTGGATGATGTCTGCGAACTGGAGAATAGTCTCCACCACGCGGAGAAGGAGATCTTGAAAAAGAACGAGATCTACAAAGCATAAATAATCAATATATAGTTTTCCAACTATAATATAAATGGTAGTATTGATTGTTTCACTGTACCTGCTGATGCTGAATGATTTTGATCGGGATCTTGTTCTTCTGCGAGGTGTTCTGGATCTTCTTATAGGGGATCTGGTCATTTTTCTGATAGATCGCGATACAGATCTGGTCCGTGAACGTGGTGATCGAGAATAATTGATCCTGTTAACATAAAATCATAGATATGTAAATAAGTAAATGCATATATATTAGGGTGGTTCTTAATATGGATGTTTTCCAATTTTCTTGCGCCTGGGGGCTCAAATACTTTCAAATTGATAAAAAAACAATTTCGGCCTATCTTAAAGTTGATAGTAGGAGCTAAAACTTTCAGAGATTTTTTCCTTATCAATTTGGAAGCATTTGAGCACCTGGGAGCAAGTGAATACGAAAACATCCATATTAAGGACCACAGTAATATACATACAACTTACGAAATAATTTACCTCTGAAAACTTCTGCTACGCGATCTCATCCCCCTGCTTTCTCCATATGTCGATCTAGAAAGTGACCTAGATCGCGATCTAGTCGCTCTTGATCTACTTCTAGATCTTCTGCCATCGCCGCCAGCTCGGCGCCTCATGTGCTCCCGCTCTTCTCTCCTTCGAGCCCTTTCATCCTTCTCTCGCATCATACGATTGAAAGCTTCCAAAGCCTTATCAGCCACTCTAGAAGGATACACATTGTAAACGTTAATATTCACATAATGTTATTCAATTATCATCTTTTACTCACTCTGGCACACTCCTGGGTCCAGCTGGAGGACCGTAAATAGGTGGACCAGGTCCTATTGGCCTTGGTGGTCCTCCGCTGATTCCGGGCGGAGGCGCTCCATAATTAGATGGTCCACTGGGTGGCACCCCCATCATGGGAGGTCTAGGGTTGTACAATGGACCTGATGGTCTAGGTCTATCATAATGTGGTGGTGGTACAGCACGCGAATCGTAATGGGGCTGAGGAGCTATGTAGCCACTGTGAAAATATCATAAATTTTAAGGGTATTTCATGCAGATATATAATATATATTTGAATAAAATAGTATTGAATTATATTAAGAAACAAATATAAATCATCTAAAAGTTCAATTAAACTCACGGCATGTGTGGTGCAGAAGGCACACCATAATTCGGAGCTCCACTTGGAGGATAAATCATAGGTCCCCCTGCAGGTGTTGCATTATGCCCATACACATTCGGAGCCGTGTGGATAGGCTGAGATGACAATGGTGGACCAGATGAGTGCATAACATGATGTGGAGGCATTCCTGTCTGAGAAGTAAATAAAAATCAATCAATTAGTGATACATAACATAGATACTTTTGAGTGAAATTAAATGATCAATTATCTTTACCTGTGAAGGAGGCATATTTGGGTGCTGAGAAGATGAATAATTGCCAGCCATATTTGGTATATTATAACCATCCCCCGGAGGTTCTTGCTGCATAGCATTTGTCCTGGCAGGAGCAGTGTTTGAGACACTGCCCATATGCGAAGACACTGGTAATCTTTGCTCATCAACTGTAGGAGTTCCTGGTCGCTGATCATCCAAGATGGATGCAAGTTTGTCTGCATTTGATCCACCATTGTTGTTATAATTACCACGTTGATAATGGGGCGGTGTCTCCACTCCAGGAGGCCTCAGGAAAGGACGTATGTGCCTACCTATGATATTAAGAATATTATTAAATTACCAACAAAGTTAATATTAAAGCAATTATTAACTAACCATTTCTAAGTGCCCCATGACCTTGCAAATGAGGTGGAGGCATTGTAACAGTTATATTATCATCATCTCCATCTGATTCTACTTCTGTACCAGGAGGACGTTCAACAACAGCAGGTTTTTCCACTTCTAAAATATAGTATAAATTTAATAAAATAAACTAAAAAATGTTTCAAGGATTCTCAAAGATTTCTTGTTTTTTACCGGTTGTATCATCGACAGTAGGTGTTTGTTCATCAGTTTTTTCTGCTGTTTTCTCTTGAACTTCTTTTGTTTCTTTGAATTTACCATTTTGTGTGGAATCTGCTTCTGAGATTACAGTATTTTTGGTGCCTCCGCTTTCCTCGTTCTCCTGTGTATGATCTGTTTCTGTTTTGTTTGAATCATCTATCGATGCATCTAATATTACAACTGATTTATCATTGGCAGTTGAATCTAGATCGACTGTAGCATCAGCTGAAGCATGGGTACTTGTAGGAGTATGGACAGCTGAAGAAAAAAATGATTATAAGTATAGTAATGGATTCATAATAATATAATTTTTGTAATGCAATACTTACTAGGTTTCTTAGGAATGTATTTTCTAGTTTTTATATATCCAGTCTCTAATTTAAAAGCTTGTACAGAATTCCTTAAAAATCTATTTGGAATCATTGTGACTGGTGAAATATCTTTGTCTTTACAATCAGGACATTCATGGTCTTCGGATTCCATAAGAGTCAATCTGATACCTAGAACACAAAATTAATATTAGATATAAAATCTACAATGTTTGAGATGAAGATTTACAATTACAATAAAAGAAAATTTTACAATGAACAAGTATATCCCTTACATTCATCACAAAAGCTGCTACCACAACAAGGAATCATCACAGCGTCTGACAATAGATCTTTGCAAATCATACATTGCAAATCTTCAGGTATTTCTACTTTATTTTCAACCACTGTAGTTTGTTTAATTGGATCTGGAGATGGAGATCTAAAAAATAAAATCATAAACAATTAAACTATAATATTCTTCATGAGATATGTAACATTTCCTACTTTTCAGGATTTATAACAGGCTGGCCGTAACCTCCAATTGGCTTCTCAACAATAAAACTTCTTGGAATCCCAGTGTTGCGCTTTATATCAGCAGTCTCCTAATAATTTTATAAGCATTTAATGAATTATGTATGAGTAAAGAGATATTTATCAGTAAAATTAAACACTAACCGCTCCAGAAGTCATAGGACAGTTTTTAATCCAATGTCCTGCCATGTGGCATTTGAAGCACCTGTAATTAGGTGGCACTTCGCCTTGTTGATTAGCTCCACGAACTTTTTGATAGCTACACATAAATATATGATTAGTTTCAATAAATATTTAGCATGAAATTAAGTAATAGTTATATTATTTATGCTTACTTACTTCTTAAAACTATCCAAAAAATAATGAGAGCAAAATAAACAAAAATATCTTCAGTTAGAAATTTATATTTTATTTTTCCTTACTAAACTATAATTTTAATTATATTTATCTGCAAAAAAAGATAAAATATAATATTTTTCTTACTTGCTGGGATCGTAATCCATAGTGCTCTGAGATATCATGGCTTTTATCTTATCCTCTTCACTCCCGACCATTTTAGACAAATCAGCAACAGCTTCATTATCTGCAGGGCGAGCACTTGGAATTATCACCCCCGAAGCATTCGGCTGCGAAGCAAAATCCCATGATTTTTTCTGAGTTTGAGATACTGGTATTCTAGCAATAATTAATGATGTATTTTTGGGTATGAGAACATTGTCATCTGTATAAACTGTAATAATTAAAGAATATGTCAATATGTGAATAATATTTGATCTATGATATGTAATTATTTGTAAAGTATATACCTTCTTTAGTTTGTGCATTTGTCACTTGTAAATCAAAGTCAAATGTTTTTCCAATTCTTTTTTGATGTAAAATAGATTTTTTCAGGTCTTTAACTGAAATGTGCAAACCATCAAATGTGATAGTGTCATATTCCAGAGCACTTTTGAATTTATAATGGACAGACATTTCCAATAATTAAATATCTGAAATATTTCAAGAGATGATAAATCTGGTTCTAAAAACTAAACATAGAAATTATGTTTGGTTAATTTGTGATAAAATACGAATTATCATCAAAACGCGAAAGCTGATAGTCTTAATCTACAATAATTAACACAAAACATTTTAAAATATCAAGCAATTGAAAAAACAGGATAATAGCACTGAATTTATCTTTCAAATGCAATACGGATAAAAACAAATCATTTAATGAAGTTCCTATTATCGTACGACTCTATATTTAGCGCGCAAAATAAATAAATCCTGTTTTTAAAAATTAGAAATATTCCAAAAGAATAATATTCACTCACAATCTTATTTTCCACATAACAATAATTTGCAAAAAGGATATTTATTCATATTACACTTGTAATTTCACCAAGCCGATCGCCATTTTGAATCTTAAGCTTCAACAATGCATTCGTACCAACCTTACAATATAAAATGAAATGTCTACAATTTTTAAAAAAATTAAATGCCTAAAAATAAATTATTATTATAAAATGTAAAGATCCGATAATCATTTTAAATTATTTACTCGATCAAACTGTAAATAAATGAAATAAATTGAATAAAAATATATTTTAACTTCGAACAAGGATCATAGATAAATAAGCATGCAAGGATAATGATTTAAGTCTAGATAATATAATAACATGGATTTGAGGATGGTCATATAACGAGCAGAACTTATTCATTTCTGTGTTTCTTCATTCAATGCATTGGATTTAATAATCAATAACCAATAATGTGGTTATTTATAATAACTCCTTGCACCTGTATATTCCATCTTCCAAAATCAATTTGTAAAACTTTTTAACAAAGAATTCTGTACAGCTCTAACAAGCTGATATCCATCCAGGAATAGTAAGATGAAAGTATGCGAATAAAGAGAATACAATCTAAATTTAATATGATAACACAAATTTTGTTTAATGTTGTTGAATTTATCCAAATATTTACAAATATTTTATACAACGTACTTAAAAAAATAAAACTATACAGACAAAAATTATTAACATACATAACTGTGTGTAAAAAAAAAAGATCACAAATGTGGCAAGAAATCTTTATAACTAAACATGGTTCTAGGGAAAATATTATTTTAATAAAGTTAATATAAACATAAAACGCACAATATTTTCTTTTTCACTTAGTAAAAGCTTTGACAGTTTTGTAAGAATTAATTTAATATAAAAACTCCAGGTTTACAAGAATTTAATAATATATAGAAATGCACTCAAAGATTATAAGGAGATCTGATTTTAGAAATGTAAATTTTTACATTGAACTTCAAAGTAATGTTTTTTAACTCTTAAAATAAGGAAAATAACAACAAACTCTTAATTAACTTTCAATTCAAAAATGTGTTATACGATATCACACAGCTTTGCTGATTGTCTACTCAATTAACAATATTCTAATACTAATGATAATAATCTTATATATTAAATTAAATATTTACATACGATTGTAACTTGATATAAAATGTAAATGATGTACCATAAAATTAAAAAATCACAAAAGCAGTATGCCTTCATTTACTGAAATAATGCTAGTATCCTATATAATATTGTATAATGTAAAAATCTTATGTTAAATAATATTTTAATTACACATATATGGATTTAAACTAACCTATGAATAAAAAACATTGTTAAATAAAATTTTATCAAGTCCTCACCACTTCACCAAACTTTAAACAAAATGTACAGTTCTGAAAAGTAATTCAGAATAACAAATCACTAGTCAATTGTTTTACGGAAATATCACTGTCTGATATTATTTAAAGTTTAAGCTAATATCATTTTTTCACTAGTTAATCTCTACTCCTTCTCGGCCTGCCAACTTTGCCCTTTCTAACACTAGCACTTGTCGCAGAAGAACTTTTCAAGAGCTTTTGCCAATCCTGCTCGCAGACTAAGTTTCCACCAAGCATGTAATACCTAGATAAAGAAAAAAAGATATAATTGTTGCTCGTAAATTATATATTTTTAATTGGTGATCAGTTATGTTAATACCTGTCTCCTTGTCTCAAATGACCACCGCATTTGCTGCAAACAAAGCAAGCTAAATGAAATACAGCACCGCCGGCAGCACCATTCGCCCCAGCACCTCCTGGAGCCCTCATCACTAATTCTGATGCGGGAATCGCTTGGCCACAGGCTGAGCAGGGGCCATTGTTCGCCCCCATGGGCCCACCGCCAGAAGAGGTGCCATTGGAACCGGCAAACATCCTAAAAAACATAATTGATAATGGATTAGAAATTGAGAAAAGAATTAGAGAAGAAACCCTTGGTAATATAAATATCGATTAAAATTTTTTGGGGCTTATGAAAGCGTTTAAATGTTTCTACAAAAAACATTTTACTTTTGTTGAAAGGGTTATCCAATAATCCTAATACTTTTTTTAACTTCCCGAAATATGTCATGTTATGTTTTTTTTTTTTAAATCTTTTATTCTATTTTGTTGTAATGCCCTAAACTTCTACTGCAAACCCTTATTTTGCCATTGTCATTTAATAATGAAATCATTTTCTATTTCGTTTTCTGTTAGTCAAAGTCTAACCAATTTTGTAAATGTAACAATTATATAAAATATATTTAAGTTTAGTTTTATTGTTTTTATATACTCTCAATATGCATGCAATAAATTCATATTTTACTCTTACTCTTATGAAATTTTACTCCTATCAAATCTTACTCTTATGAAATCTTACTCTTGTCAATTTTGCTCTTATCAAATCTTACTAATACTGTTTAATACACCATTTGTTTGTTAAGTTATACCATTTTAAAGTTTGACGACCTTTTTCGTCATATTTTGTTCCAGAAGTTGAAAATAAGTAAATGCAGTTGTATAGAGAATTTTATAGGCTTTTTATTTATATTTGACAAAATTTATGTGTTTTAACAAAATATTGCACATTTGAAATTGCAGTCAGAAAGCTTACAAACATTTTATTTGCAAAATTGTACGATTTTAAAGTTTGACGACCTTTTTCGTCATATTTTGTTCCAAAAGTTGAAAATTAGTAAATGCAGTTGCGTAGAGAATTTTATAGGCTTTTTATTTATATTTGACAAAATTTATGTGTTTTAACAAAATATTGCACATTTGAAATAGCAGTCAAAAAGCGTACAAACATTTTGTTTGCAAAATTGTACGATTTTAAAGTTTGAAGATTTTTTTCGTCATGATTTTGTTCCAAAAGTTGAAAATTAGTAAATGCAGTTGTATAGAGAATTTTATAGGCTTTTGATTTATGTAAAATAATATATATATATATATATATATATCTATATATATATAATATACATGTATATATTATTACAGCTAGTATTAGGTTTCAATAGAACAGAATCGAACGTCGATTTTTTATCCATCAGTGGTATGGTGGTATGGTTTTGCAAAAAAACGAAAAAAATATCAGTCGATCGTTTTGAACGCGCAATGAAAATACGTGAAGCGAAAATTTGCAAAGTTTTTTTTCTGTTTCGTGTAAAACGAGTCTGCGTCGCTTTTCCCACATTTAAAGCTTTCTAAAAACAACTCAAACTACTCATTGCACCGACGAACGCTTTCACGAGGAAAAGATCCTAACGTTTAATAATTATTTATTTAATAACTATCATGATTAATGGTAATATTTATCTAGATCAAATCAAACGGTCTATATGTATAGTGGTACTCTGGTATACGAGTTTAATTTGTTCCGTGAACACGCTCGTATGTCGAATCGCTCGTATCTCGAAGCAATATTTCTCATAGAAATTCCATTAATTCGTCCCAGCCACTATGGTTTTCGTTAAGTATTTTGAATATTGAAAATAACTTCACTATTTATTTAATTAATTATTGCTTTTTTCAAAACTCTTCAAATTATTGTAAAGCCCTTAGTGGTGTTATATATTATACTCTTATTTCATAAGAGTAAGAGTAAAATGTCGTAAGAGTAAGTAATTTCGTAAATATCAACTGTTGGAAATGAAAAGAAATCATTATAACTGTTTATAATTAATTATTTAGTATTGATTTATTTCAGATTGTGTTGTACGAATACATTATTATAAATATTACCATCCCAAAGAAGCCAAGGTCTCTCAAGGAATTACAAATAGAATTATAACCCAACAAGGTCTGATTTATAATGGAAAAAATAACTCGAAAAGTCAGGAAATTCTGCATCTGTATGCAAAGTTGCAAACATATATAATGTTAAATAAAAAATGAGCTAGATGTAAATAATCAGCTTAATCGATAAGAATTGATTCGCGAGCACATTTTTCGACATCAATTTAAATTGTGCAAAAACTTGTTTAAGCACATACATTTTATTTTACATAAATGAAAAGCTTATAAAATTCTCTAAATAACCGCATTTAATGATTTTCAACTTTTGGAACAAAAACATGACGAAAAAATCGTCAAATTTTAAAATCGTACAATTTTGCAAAGAAAATGTTTGTACGCTTTTTGATTCCAATTTCAAATGTGCAATATTTTGTTAAAACACATAAATTTTGTTAGATATAAATAAAATGCCTATAAAATTCTCTATCCAACTGCATTTGCCAATCTTGAACCTTTGGAACTAATACATGATGAAAAAAATCGTCAAACCTAAAAATCGTACAATTTTGCAAACAAAATGTTTGTACGCTTTTTGATTCCAATTTCAAATGTGCAATATTTTGTTAAAACACATGAATTTTGTTAAATAAATAAAATGCCTATAAAATTCTCTATACAACTGCATTTGCCAATTTTGAACCTTTGGAACTAATACATGATGAAAAAATTCGTCAAACCTGAAAATCGTACAATTTTGCAAACAAAATGTCTGTACGCTTTTTGACTTGCAATTTCAAATGTGCAATATTTTGTTAAAACACATAAATTTTGTCAAATATTGACAAATATAAATAAAAAACCTATAAAATTCTCTATACATCTGTATTTACCAATTTTTAACTTTTAGAACAAAATCATGACGAAAAAAATGGTCAAACTTTAAAATCGTATAAGTGTCTAATTATACTCACCTATGGTAGTCTCCCTTGCAAAGAATCATGCCCCTTTTGCTAAAACAGGAAGCCCCCAAATCTGCCAATGTGGCTTGGCAATAAGTGCATTTGAGACATGCATGGTGCCAATACCTGTCCAATGCCAGAAGTAAAAATCGTTCTTCTATCCGATAACCGCATCCT